GTCTTCCAAGTACGTCCATCGATCATTGTGTTTCTATATTTGTATCCGAGTTTAAATCCGAGGCGCCAAACGAGGCCTAATTGTTAGTTTCGATAATGTTTGTGCTCATCTGGAATATAATTTTGTGTAACAGGTGGTGTTTGAGTGTGGCAGAGATAGGCCGATCATTTTCTCAAGCTTCCAACCTGATGCGGCCCTGTTGGTTAAAAAGTTGCAGAACACCTACCCTGTAAGCACTTTTATCATGTATAATTTGCTTTTGAATGCGATCAATGTTTAATGTAACGAGTTACTAACTATTGTGCTTAATGAATTGATGATGGCAGGTCTTTTTCTTAACAAATGGTGGGACTGAGCTTTACTATGATGTGCGAAGGAATTCTTTGGAGGAGGCGATAAAACTTTGTTCGGAGGGTGGTTTACAAGGTATTGTGTCGGAGGTTAAAGGCGTGTTGAGAAATCCCGGGGCGGTAACCAAGATCAAAGAGGCCAAGCTTTCACTCCTAACTTACGGCAAATTGAAGTAAGCTTGCGGAATTCTGTTTGCCTAATGCGAGTTGAATTTCAAAAATTATGAAGGAATGTAAATTGATCATAAAATTTATGATGAAATTGCAGCAATGTGCCGGAAGCAGTTTACATGCAATACCTAATGGGGGTCGAGGGAGTGATAGTGGATTTTGTGAAAGAGATCACGGAGGCGGTGTCGGATATGATTAAGCCATTAGGTGGGGCGGAGGAAGACGGGGGGAAGCGTTTGTTGGAAGAAGACAGGCCAATGCAGGTGAAATCAAAGCCGGAGTTCTCAGAGAGGGAGCTTTCTTTTCTATTGAAACTGATTCCGGAGTTGATACAGCTTTGAGATTGTTTTCAAGATTTTGTCTTCTTTGTAAAATTAAATTAGGGGGGCATAAGCATATGCATACTCATTAATCAGGTTGTGGAGGTTGTCGCATCAGGATATATGCAGTATTGTTGTACATATAATTTAGTTCCTTGAGAGTCACAAATCCTATACACATAAGTTGTGCGCTCCTCCATATGTATCTCAGAACAGAAAGTTTTATGTTAATTAGTTGAGCATCAGCAGTTTGTTTTCATCTTCTACTCTCTCTCTCTCGTCTCTTAATCTCTCTAGCTTTCACCACTCTAGTTCAGAAAGGAATAGCAACGGTTCGGGTTGGGTACCAAAATGCTATATCCATTCTTATAACTACGAAAATCAACTATATCCATAATCATAAATTAATTATCGGGGATTGTTCATAGCCATACCCACTGGATAATAGATATTTTATCGATGAATGATTATATCCATCTTCGTCAATACAAAATATATATTTGTTCGGTTGATGCGTTATAATTTAGTGGATATTAATTTCGTCATTAAATATTTGATGTATAAACTGATTCAATGAACGAATATTGTGAAATATAAAAATAAAACCACTAAAATTAAAACATTAATGATTTGGCTGATCTTTGATATCTTCTATAAGCCCCATTGAATTCTTATTGATTTTGATTCAAAACTTTTGAACATTCCCACAAAATGCAACTCACACAATGCAACTTCTGTATTCTCAAGGTTTTCAAACCAAAAATCGAAACTCAAACATGGACCGGACCAAACCGAATCGAGCGGTTCGGTTTTTGAGGTTTTGAAACTGAATTGTAAGTTAAAAAAGAGGGTTTGGTTTCGGTTCTTAATATCTAATACCGAACCAAATTGCAATACAAAAAAATATTTTTAGGCTTTTTAAAGTATATAACAACTAATGTAATTTATGTGTTTATGTTTTTGTGTTGTGTAGTGTTGATCAATTCGAATTTAAGCATTGACTCTTTTACTTTTAATCTACAACCACAACAAGAAGCTTCAAGGCAATCTCAAGCTTATAGTTCACAAAGTTTAGTACTAGTTTGGTACTGAGGTACTTTTATAAAAAGTGGGTATAAAAAAAACTGAGCTCAAAAATGTGTTTGGTAAACACTTAAAAACAACTTATTTTCACAGTTTTTTGTGAAAAAAAGCTGAAAACGTGAAGCAGCAAAAATGAACTTATATTCACAACATAGCAAAAACAATTTTTTTTTTCAAAGCACAGCAATACCAAACCAACCCTTAATGGTGTATCATCCATTGGTTTCACTTTCACAAAGTCCAAAGTCTCCCTAAGTATTGCATTCTCAAGCTTGAATGCATTCTCAAGCCCGTTCATAAGCTCAAATGCCTCATAAACCTTCGAAGAGTAAGTCTCCAAATGGAAAGGGAGCAAGAAAGGGTCAAACGATCAAATTTTCATAGTAGTGACTTGAACTGAAACACCAACATTTTTTTTGTTGAATTGCATGAAACCAAAACCAAATCAATGCCTATCGAAACCAAAACCCTTTGAAACTTAACCAAACCAAAACCAAATGGTTTGGTTCCAATATGATGTCGTCATGTGCAGGGCTACTCCCTAACACTATGGTCGGTCACCTCCTCCTATAAATACCTCTATCTGTACCGAATCTTGGTGTTTTTTGCTACACATACAAGCCCTAAACAATCATTATTTTAAGATAAACTAACTTAGGCATTAGAGATCCATTGGCCAAACCCCCTCTCCTACCCCACCCTGTAGGTGCGTGCGTCTTTGGTGTTTTTTATAAGAGGTGTTGATTGTTTTGTAGGTACGAATTCGTCAAGATTGAAGACGACGGATTTTTGCTACCACATAATACAATCACCATCACAATGGTTAGGTGGTGATTGTATTAACAACATATATTCATACGAATTATATCTGATCGTCAAATGATGATTTTACTAAATACATGTAAATATTGTAGCAAATCCTCTAATTGCATGAATGAATTAACATAAATGGACCTAAACTGTTGCATCCCAATCATACCCTGGGCTTTGTGACGTGCCTTTAGCCCAATCTTAAACTTGAGGTTTCATACATGCGTACATTATTCAATTTATTTTGTTGGAAAGAGCATATTCTCCAAAGAAAAATATTATTGAAGTGGGAAATGCCCTTCTCAAGTTGTATGGATGATGAATGGGATGCGCTATTCACAAATTTTTGTTACTTCTCACACATTTTTTGTTAAATTATATCATTTATTTTTTTTCAATTCATTTAATCCTCTCTATAAATGGGGGTAAGGCTAGCCGACATTCACCTCTCCCAGACCCTGCGTAAAGCGGGAGTCTTGTGCACTGGGTACGACAAACTCATTTAATCCGACGGTCGAAAATGAAAAATATGTGACAATTATTGAAATGAACCACAAAATTGCAGAGAAGAATCCTTCTACTAGTTAGGCATCAATTTTGCTGTATAAATTGCCTTTTTAGATGGCTAGCTTCCAACTGTTAAATCCTAGTGTTATACGCAAACAGCTGGGATTAGGTTCTTGAAGGAAGAAAATGAATTAATTAATCCAAAGTTTAATTGACAAGGGTAGTAATTAATGGGCATCTCCACATCCACACGATAACGAATCTCACTGCAGCACAATACGTCTTTCAATTTTCGAGACAAGACCACACTACAAGGCACAAGGCGGAGCACATTTAATAGTATGTTCTCTTCAACTAGTGTTTTAATCAAACACTCATCGCCCTAGACATATTTAGCGTCTGGTGTTCTTCAAAGTTTCAACTTCGAGGCCATTTGTTATCTCTGATGAATCGTGTTGTTGTGTTTGAAAACTTTTTAGAAAAATGTTAAAGTGATTTTTTAAAAGTGTGATTTTTTTTATGGATTCTTATCATATTTTTGAAAGAATTTTCTTAATATTTCTCATTCTCTCCTTCCTCAACTCAAAATTCATCACAGATGGTCGTTATGAGCTTGATTTTCCTAAAAGGTCCACAACTCCCAAAACACTATTCACCGTAGAAATCACTATTCCAGATGCAGTTTGCCAATTTGACATGCAAAACTGACAGGGGCTCGGTTTTAATAGGATAGTAATTTTAACATACCTCATTTTACTTTTCACATATTTTTTTTTTATTTTTATATATTTATATGCTCTTCCATCCTTTTGTCTTTATCTTACAAGTATTAAATAAGAGCAAACAAATATTAAAAATTAAAACAATGCGTGAGAGATAAAATTTGGAATGTGTAAAGACCATTACCTTAATTTCCCATATATGTTAGGTAGCAATTTGGCTAAAACAAAACTATTTCCTCAAAACCTAAACTGATTGTAGTTTATGTCTTGATGGAAATGATGTCTACATATAATGCTGTCAAATCTTCTAATATATACACCTCCGATTCTTTAAATCAATAATTACTAGAAACGTACTTTGCAAGAAATCATGAAAATATAAGGTTAATCAAATATATTTGCGAAATGTACAGTTTATATAGATTTTCTGTATCCACAAGGAGAGTCGGGACAACAAGCACAAAGTAGGAAAGTCAAGAAATATAATTACAGCTAGGTTAGAACAAGAGAGTTCGTGTTTAAGTAGGTGACTGGTGAACGAGACCAGAACAACATATAAATTATAAAAATAAAAATAAAATTAAAAAAAAAAGTCCCCCATACATGTCAGATACAGCACACAACGTGTCACACGTGGGGCTTAGCTAACAGTGTTTTAACTTTTCATTAACAGAGAAGAAAAGCATGCTTATTGACCAAAAGCTAGGCAATTAGTCCTCACACGGTTGTGGGCACAAAGACCCGTCAAAATAAAGCGGCAACCAATTCCTTTCCCGAGTCAAGGAAGGAGAAGAGCTTCCGAGTCAGACCACGAGTCAAGAGTTTCCTGGCACTGCACTGCACTGCACTGCAGCCACTACCCCTCTCTATTTATTAAAACGACACCTCTAGGTCTGTCTATGTATCTATATATATATGTGTTGATTTCCTCACTCTCGAATCTGCAACTGCAAGCACACAACCGGCAGGCTTGCCAGCTGCCGCCCAACTCTTCTCCTTTTGCCTTTAACTTTTGAATCAACTTCCACACATGCCATAAATTTCCTAGCTCTCTCCATCTCTCTCTTGTTGTTGCAGTTGCCCAACACTAACATTTATTCTTCCTCTCCTACACAACTACTTGCTTCTGCTTCAATTAAGCTAAACCAAGCTGAATCATTCATCGGATATTTGATTAATTAATCCATCAAATATATAGATAGAGAGATGGAAAATATTAAAGAAAACTATGTTATAAATGGAGGAGTGAAGATGCCAGTTGGGTACCGGTTTCGTCCCACGGATGAGGAGCTGGTGCTTCACTACTTGATGAGGAAGGTTCATGCCGCCCCATTGCCTGCTTCCATCATTCCAGAGTTCGATGTCTTCGAAACTCATCCCTGGGGCTTGCCGGGTTAGTTTTGTTCATGCTTTTTTTCTTACTGATCTTGTTTTTTCTCTCTGCAGACTTCATCCTTTAATTTATTCATGTTTAAATGAAATAAAAGAACATGGATGAGCATATATCATTGGAAGTGTGTGGAAATCACTTTCCTTTTAATATCAGAGTTTTATTCAAATTATAAAGCAAGGCTAGCTAGCTAATTGGTTCATCGTTATTGGGCTGTGCAGGTGATGTTAGAGAAAAAAGGTATTTCTTTCACAATGAAAATATGAATAAGAATGTTGGCATCAACAGCAAGAGAGCTGCTGGATGTGGATACTGGAAGCCTATTGGCAAAAAGAAGCAGATTGTTAATAATTCTGAATCCAATGAAGCCGTTGGGATCCGGAAGACGTTGGTTTTCTGTGAAAGGAAGCGCCGCCGTTGCCACCACCACCACCATGGGAGTACTAATACTACCACTCAAACTCGATGGCTCATGCATGAATACCGCCTGTTGGCTTCTCAAGCAAATCCAACCCAGGTTTTGGAAAAGGAATCCGGAAACTGGGTGGTCTGTCGCATATTTCAGAAAAAGAGAAGGCCTACTCAAAGAACATCAGATGATATGGGGGTCGCTTCTCAACGCTCATCAAACTGCAAGAAGACTCGGAGATTATTGGAGGATTATATCTCGGCAGATGATCATTCACGACGTTCGGATCCTGATCTTACAACACTTTCTTCCCCATCATGCTCGAGTGACATCACTCATGAGCTCTCTTCCAATGACAATGGTGAGCTAGACGATGATCAGGAGGGACACAGTGTTAGCATGCCGATTAATATTTAGCTAAGTTATTATATATTGATCACATTAATCGTGTTTTGTTTAAGATCAGTAGTACTATCACGATAGCTTTGGTTAAGCTTCCTTAATTCCGTGTAATTCATCATGTAATCCAACTCTTGAGCAACAAATTAAATGAGAATGGCCACTCTAACAGCAAGAGGCAAAAGGAAGAGGCATTCATATTGTTGCAAGTAAAAGACTTATCAGTGGTTATTGTCAACAGTTTCTTATAGTATTTATTGGTTTAATTGATCAAAATCACCATATATAACAATAGTGAGAGGAAAATAAAGTGGTGCAATGCAAAGATGGCATATGATTTGTTTCCGAGTAAATCTGGAGGTAGTTTTTCTCTTTTCTTATCAGAAGGGGCAAATGATTTCTGAGACAAAAAGATGACCCCATTGAATTGGGTATATCTATCTATCAATATAATATGATGATGGTTAATAGTTAATATTTATTCGTGTAATGGTACATAAATTACTAAGAAAGCAACAAGATTGCTACACCAGAAAAAGGAATCCAAAGACACATAGGGAAAGGATAAGAGGTTTTAATTGTGAAGGAAACACAAGTGATACATAACGTGTTTTAATTAAAGTGGTGATAAATTTTATTTTTTAAGTTATTAAATTTTTAGTACACATATCTAACTATTTATATAATAATACGTGATGTACCATCTCATATACCGATTACACCGAAAAATCTTCTTTGATCTTGGCCTTTTTGGTTCTGGGCATAAATGAAAAGAGGTTCTTTTATTAGTTCTACATTATCTAATCTAATCATGGCACGTAAATATAAAATAATCAGAAATATGTTGGTGGTGGCAGAGAGCACATGTGGGGTGGGGGAAGTCGCAGACTCGCGCCCCTCTTTTTCTATACAATTCATAACTCAATACCCCATCCATAATATACAAGTAAATTAATGCTTCGCCTTATGGAACCTAGCTCGATGACCTTTTGGCATTTTAGTCCCTAATATACAATAATTGGAATTTAAAAAATGGTTCGGATCCTTTTCACAAAGTTCACGAGGCACACAATTCAAACATTTGAAATTTAATAAAATTATTAAAGTTATTATAACTTTTAAATAAACTCTTGTTTGTAGCTGTTAAATCAAATTTCAAATGTCTGAATTGTATGCCTTGATGAACTTAGTGGAAAAAAAATCCAGAGAGGATCCTTTCTCTTTAAAAATGAAGAAGATTATGTCTTCTTCGACCATGTATGCGATCGATGATTAATTATATTGTTTAATTGATTATCACGTAATTAAAAAAGGGTGTTGGTTGTATTGGGGAAGGGTACCAAAGCACAAAATGTTTTCTATGTACTTCCAGAGTTGGGATAACGCAACCTCTCTTGGGAGCTTGAGAATAAGATTCCTGCTATTTATTCCTACAGCCTTTATCTTTTTTTATTTTTTATTTTTTTTTAATACATCGATATTGGTATTGAATTCGTCATTCACGAAATTCGAATTTAATACCTCTTACTTATAATTAAAGAGAAATACCACAAGATCATAGTACTAAATGATACCTTTTATCTTATTGATTATTAAGATTTTACCATTTAAACCCATTGATACTATACCCTAATTTTCATAATACACTGTGCACAATTCTGAAGATTTATTCACAAACGTAATTAGAAGTAGCTAGAACAACACGGCATAAGACATGTGGGACCAATGCATAGTGGGCCAGACGGGAATGCAAACTCACAGCAGTCAATCAAGTGCTGAAGCAAGACAAATGCAATTTTACTTGGTAGTTCAAGCAAGGCAAGGCAAAGACTAAAGACTCAATTCGAGTCAGTCACACATCAAGACAAAGTGATCGTTTGGAAAAAAATTTAAAAAATGGTTAAAAATGTTTTGGTCAAAATAGTAGTACGGTGGGTCAATTTGTTAATCTTTTTGACAATATAGATACAATGTTATTGTTATCTAATTATATAACATTAAAATTGAAAGATGAGTTTCTCCGCTTTGGTGATCTCCTTCCTTCATGGTTCTCATAGCCTAATTATCATCTCTATGGTCTTGTTTCCGATTGCAAAAGTTTGATCAAAGAGAACTGAAGTTGCAATTTGCAGTATTGTTATAGAAAACATAATTTTGCAGCCGAAGGGCTAGCCAAATTAGATTTGAATAGCGAGATAAATTTTCAAGAACTTACGGAACCTCCTATTATTCAGTATAAACTCTTTCCAATAACTGTTTTGATATCGCTATAGTTACATTAGTTGTTCTTTAGTGCTTTTTTGGTCCTTTTTCTCATGTTACCGAAAATAAGAGGAGTGGGGGCACTCGTGGCAGTAGTTGGAAGGCTTAATTAGCAAGTAAAATTATGCACGTTACTCGTTTAGTGGCGTAGAAGGTGAAATTAATTAATCTGGGTATATGTGAGTGATCTGACATGTGAAGTGGGCTTAGTCGTTGTGGTAGGCCAGGACAATGCATTCAATTCAAATATTTCCAGAAGAAACAGCTCCTTCCTATACATGTATGATGTATCTTTCCCTTTCGCACAGAAATTTCCTTCTAAATTACCTATTAACTCTGTCTTGGAGAACATTCGAACGTTACCAATGAAGAATCTTAAGCTAGGTTTTTGCATCTAATATTCATTGGATTTAGGAATTTTCAAATCCAACTACGTGAGGTTTTGTGCGTGCACGTATACATCAGCCAAGAAAGAAAGACCTACTTTACATTTTGAGAAACCTCAGGAAGGTTTTAAGAGGCTTAACAAGAATGGCCCTTTGGCAAAAGAACGGCCCATCATCACGTTTGCTGTGGATTTTTGACCTAATCCAAAAACACAAGCCTGTTGGTAATTGAAGCCTGTCAAGTTTTTCATGAACAAACACGTGATCAATTTAGACATGCAAAATAACATATTTGCATTTTTTAATACAATAAAACACACGTGTGTGTGTGTAATAGTAAGATACAATTTTATTAATTAGAGAGTGCACTAACAAGTGTGTCAAACATCCAAGACAAAGTTACATTTAAATAGTAAATATACGGGTCCAAGACAAAATTAAAGGCCAAGCACAAAGAGGGTTCTTAATTAATGGTTCTACAAATTAAAGTTATCATATAGCAGTAATAGTGTGAGAATGCGAGGATACAGTCTCATATTAGTAAATGACTAAACTATACAAAGGTTTATAGGGAGTTGTACTACTTCTTATATTACCAATTAATTTTATAACGAAACTTAAACTTTCTTCAAATAACACGTATATATAGATGCATGTGTTTATGAAACAGAATTATGAATTAGTTAAGCAATTTACGTAGCTTAGTAGGGCATGCCAATCCCTCTGGACCTCTGGTGCTGGGTTGATGGTTAATTATGAACGTCCTAACCCCGCAACATTCGTTTCTTCCCTCATTTCAACTCCCGTGAATATTAATTTTCTCATTTTCTTTCTAATTAATTTCCTTCACGTCGGACAGCGTACTCTCTTGATCGACCCGTTTAGACTGGATCAATTTTATTCAATTATTTTGATTTATTAATTCCGGGCTGCCGATCGGATTAATGATCGCTCTCTCCGCAACACCATCTTGATTGATCTCTCTTAAAGTTTACCGTTCATGTCTCTCCTCCTCGTGCATCGATACCTATAGGCGCAGCCGCCTCGTCGTAGTCAGCCAGCCAGCCGCCATGGGTTGCGGCATTTCAAGGTTGGATCGACTCGTGAAGGAACGGGGCATGCATGACAATTATACCGAGGAGGACGACATGAAAGAGAAAGAGAGATTACGACGGGTGGAGAAGGTCAGAGAGCACACAAAGGAGGAGAAGCAGCTGCCACATGCACATGCAGCAGCGAATAAGGGAGGCCGCCAATATTACCCGGGCGGCCGTCGAGATTTTGATGACGATGATCGTGACCAAATGCTACCCAACGGTGGTGACAGGGAGGATAGCTTCATAAATTGTCCGCGATCCCCCAGTTTTAGGGACTATTGCATTGACGACGACTCTGATGAAGAAGATAGGCACCACACCCCCATCAGCGGTATTAGTGTGTCTTTATGTCTGAATAATATTATTGTTCATTAGTTAATAATTTAACCTATTAATAATACATAATCATTTTGCAGGTGATGATGCTGATCATATTAAAGATCATGCAGCAAATTCAGCGGAATATCGGCATACCAACAAGGTAATTGATAGCTAAAAGTACAAGCCCTAGCCGTTTATATATACTGCTTAATGAATTGATTAATTATTAATTAAATCCTAGCTAATTTGCTTTTCTGTTTTTTTAATTAGGTGCTGCAGGGAATATCAGAGGATGATGAATTAGTGAAAAAAGAGAGCAAAGGGAGATCACGAGGAAAAATTAGGGGTGCGTTATCGAAGGGCAAGCAAACGAAAAGAATTAAGTCCTACTTACACGTCTCCAACTGGCACCACCACAACAATTCAATCTCACCGTCACAAAGTCCCCAAAAGATGGTTGCTGCTGGAAATTGATTCATTCCTTCGTTAAATTAATCTGCATGTACATGCATCATGAGTATGTATCATATTGAATTATTAATTAATGACGCATGCATGCATCATATTTATATAGATCAGCTTTCCCTCCATTTCTCGATCGAGATCTCTCCCCCCCCCCAAAACATGTATAGTCGCAAGGGTATACATGATTTATGCGATGAAGCCCGATATTGATATTTTATATATCCGACTCTTATTTCTTTCATGTAATAAAAAGTTCATCATGGTACAGAGTCACATTATTTTCATAGATATTAGGAGAACTAGGCATGATTGTGAATTCAGATTGACAATTTGTCATGCAGATAAAACCACAAAACCCTACATGCATGCATGGGTGTTTACCCTCAATCAGGGTTAACTTTGCACCGACCACTGCAAACTTTGTGTCCTGACTTCTACGGAAAATAACGTATCACAGGGATCTCAGGCAATGCTTCAAAAGGCGGCTAGCTTTATTTGAAAATTGCTGCTCCTCCGGGATCCATCTTTAATTTGTGTCTCATCTCGTCCCTCAGCACTCCCCTTTAATTTCCTCCCTTAGGCTTCAGGAAAACGTAACACACCTTTCCGAATTTTGACCTGTCATAAGTCTTTATTCAAACAACAATAATATCTTCCATACGTCGCTTTCATTTTCTTCATTTCCCCACTCCTCCTATAAATTCAAGGGCAAGCTAATGAACAGTATAAAATGAAAAAGATACATCTCTCTAAAGAAAGGCCATTTGTGTCTTCAAATCGCAACTGTACGTTTCTTTTGAAGAACCACATTTTTGCTATATGATGAAAAATGATAAACACACATCAATTTTATCACATCCGTTGTTTTTATTTGATTTACTTAATTTAATAACTAAAAATAAAGAAAGGCATATAACAGACTCAAAAAAACGTGTGACTTTAGTTCCCTTATAACATATGCTGACAAGCCAAAAGGCACTTCCTTGAGACGAAAAGTATATTTATATGTGCGTGTGTATGTAGTGAACAAGTTATTAAGTTGTCCTGATTTACTTGTAATGTTTCAAATGAGAGTCCCAATTGGTCCAAAACCTTTTCAATGATTGCATCGATCGTTTGCCTCCCTTTTGAATAGAGGATAATATAAGTTGTATTTAATGTGAAGTTATCTGAAATGTCCAAGGCAATTTGGCAACGGCGAAAGTTTTAAAAGCATACACCTTCTTTACAGAGTATAAAGGAGTACCTATAGATCCTGGTCACATTTCCCGATCACTGTGGCATTAGGTGTAGTCCAGCATCAATTTACACATGGAAGCGGTCCAAATGAGTTAAAAGGATCTAACTTTTTCTGATTTGCTTTATGCAAACGAACCTTAGCATTAGGCCATCTCCAACCGATGGTTGGCCAAAGTGCTCGTTTTAGCTTTCTGGCCCTCCAAGATCCTCCAAGATATTAATATTTTAATGAACAGTACATGACCATATTTGCCTCCGTCTCCAACCGAGGGCCAGAGGGCCAGATGACTTGTTTTAGCCCTGTCACAAAAAATCATCTCTAACCGAAGGCCAAAGGGCCATAAGGCCAAACATAATTTATTATTTAAAAACTATAACAACTTAAATTTAAAAACTACAACTTATATTTAAAAACTACAACTAAAATTAAAAAATGACAAATTAAATTTAAAAACTACAAATTAAATTTGAAAACAACATTAACTTAAATTTAAAATTTTTGTGAGGAATGGTGAATGAATGGTTTAGGTATTGATAAGAAAACAATAGAATTTTTGAGAATTGAAAAAAAAAAGGCCCCAAAAAAAAACCTAAAAAAAATAAAATAAAAAATTGAATCCAATGGTAACTGGCACCAGCTAGCCGTTGGAGTCGAAATTCTTTTTAAGAATTCCTGTCGGTTATAATCGACAGGAATACATATATTGTATTTAATGTAAATGTATTACTGTCGGTTATAACCGACAGGAATACATTTATATTATTAAATAATATAAATGTATTCATGTCAGTTATAACCTACAGGATTAAGCAGTTTTCTGGCCAGCCTCGGACTGGCTGGCTGGCTGCTTGCAACCAGCCCTCCAGCCCTCTTCGATTCCGTGAGGCCCTCTCAGATTCCATAGCCCTCTGGCCTATCCCTCGGTTGGAGATGATTTTCGGGCTATTTTTGGCCCTTTGGCCCTCTGGACTTTTCGGTTGGAGATGGCCTTAGGTTGTTGTACTCATGAACCAGTAATTGTGGTTTACTGGTTTACTAACTACATCTTTATGAATTGCATGTATATACTTGACACGAGTTATTGACGGCACAAAGACAATAACAAGGCTTATCAGTCATGTCCGACATGTAGAAGTTTCACCGTGTTACGAAGAGGACAAGGACTAGAGGTAGCTAATCAACCCATTGAGTTGTTAATGGGTACCTATTTTAAGATCCATTTAGAAAATATGTAAACACCACAATTTTGAGTGGTACTCGAATCATTTTGTGATGAGGATGTTATTGAAACAACACGTTGAAATCTGACCAAAAAAGAAAATTGGACACCAAAACAAAAATTACTACTGATGATATTGGATCAGTAAGCAATGGAGCCAAAAACCAAAGATTAATGAAGAACACATCCACTTTTACCACTCACGCGTTAATAATACAAGAAAAAGAAAAGACATACAAAGATTGAAATCTGCGGACCAGAGAGATGGAAAGCAAACCAATGCTAATCCGAAGCATATGAAAATAAAGTCAAATTGTAAAGTAGCTGAAATATAAATGATAACAAATACAGTAAAATTAAAATCATTTAATATTCATCCCATTTATACACAACTTTACACATCCAAAATAGCATAGGGTATAACGTGCATTCAAGGATGACTTACGTCACACAGCCAAAAAAAAAAAACAGTAGCTTAGGTGAAACAAAAATCAATAAATTATTTGGCCTCACTTGGTAAGCGATATCTTCAAAATCAAATCTAATAACTCATTAGAGTAATTAGATGTTAGATTAGGGAGCCAACATGATTCGAACCCACATCGTGGTGCAAGGGCAATACTCCTCTCCACCACTGTGATAAAGGGACACTTGCAACTAAAAATTGTTATATATCTACTTAAGACACTTCTCTTGTTGCCAACCGAAAAGTTAAATCTGATGCGGTAAATATAGATTGGCATCACCCACTTTAGTGTTAAAATTGACAGCAATTTTATTTTTTTAAATTCATTGTAAAATGTATTATATTATTGTTTTTTGTTTCATAAAATTTATTATAATAATTTAATTTAACGAGTAAAAATAAAAATTTTAAAGATGGCAAAGTATCACATGGTTTATTAATTTTAAATTTCACATATTTTAGTTAGACATCTCTTTTACAGACAGTACGTATTGGTTCGATACTGAAGTGCTTTTATAAAAAATAGATATAAAAAAAAAGCTGATTGATAAATACTTAAAGAGAGCTGCTAAACCCACCCCCGTTGTCTTATTTCCCCACCTACGTTATATTTACACCCACTATAAAAAGTTAAAAAATTAAAATGTTATTTTCCCACCCACTATTATTCCTAAAATAACCCTATATATAATTAGAGATAAATTTCTCTAAAATTTAATGAAGCTACTCCCCATTAATTCAGAAAACAATAAACCCCAGTGATAAACCATAAACGAAATTGACCAAAGAGGAACAACCTCGGATACAGCAGCAGCAGCAATACATGTTCATTGCCTGTATACTTTTTTTAGTCACATTGTTGTCCGTTTTATTTCTAATGGGATAAATTTTCACAATTCAGTACCAACTACGAAGAGTTTCGCTGACAGAGGATGATGCCTTTGCATTTCTAAAGGCTGATAATCTTGGTGATTACATAAACTATTCAAGTTTCTGTGGAGCACTTCGACGGGTTCGATATCAATTAACCAATTGGAAAATTTACTAAAAGGCAAAGATTCAGAGCAAGATTGTGACGCTGTTGGTGGAACCTCCCCAGCCCTCGCTAACAGGTTCGATATCAATTAACCAATTGCAAAATTTTCCCTAACCTAATTAAAACAATTCCAACAAATTCTAGGAATTCTCATAGGAAAACATGAAACAAATTGTACCCTATAACCTAATGCAAATTCAAATAAAAAGTCACAGAGCTATGCTTCAATTATTCATGTCGACGAATCAAGATGGTCCACATAAAATTATCTTTTACCTGTTCGACGGAAACATAGTCATCTACTTGTTCTATAGAAATGTTATCTTCTAAATTCATTCTTTTTGCTTTCTTTGAACGATTTTGCTTTCTTTGAATGAAAGGGGATGAAAAGGATGAGTTAGGGTTTATGGGAGACAAATTTTCTAAACTTTTCTTTTCTTTTCTTTTCTTTTTTATAAAAAAAAAATTAATGCAAAAAGGAGTAAGTAAGGTCCCTATTAGTCATTTTACAAATGGATAAATTTGTAATTAAAAAATTCATAAAAAGGAGGGTGGGGAAATAAGACACCGGGGTGGGAATATCACCACTCATACTTAAAATAGCTTATTTTAACCGTTTTGGATGAACAAAAAGCTGAAAACGTGAAACAATAAAAATGAGCTTATTCTTACAACATAACAAAAAACAGTTTTTTTTTATTCCAAAGTACAACAATACTAAACCAGCTCTATATTGCCCGCTCATTCACCAAATTGAGATGGCAAAAACGGTAATTTGAGATGAGTGGAGGTGCGGATCTGACCCACCCACCGGCGCGGTCAAAGTAGGACAGTTTTCGTCTTAGAACCGCTTCTTCCTCGTCATCAATATCTGACTTTGACTGTCATCCATCCGCTACAACTAAACGCCCGCGTGTCACTTTCACCCGCCACTCTTTTGTCTCCACGTCAGAATTCTGGCCATCCCCCTAGAGACCTGATTGTCTGCCCTTTCCATTCTGTATTATTCCCATATTTTTTTATTTATACTATCACTGTTAAGTTATGTTAATATTTTAAATTATTATTATTTTTATCTTATTATTTATATAAAAAATTAATATGATTTAACTGTAACCACAGAAATAAATGAAGATGTAAAATGCATGAGATGGAGAGGCAGACAATCCAAATCCTCCCCCTAGACAGGCGTGCGATGGATTTTTGCTCCACCACTGTCCCATTGCTTGAAGCTACTCGCATCGAGATTCCGGTTACCAAATTACCCTTACAGTAATA